TGGCCCCGCCGCGAGTCGGGGCTGCCTTCACCCTGACACCTGTCTCGGGGCCGTCCGAGCCCGCCTCCCGCACGTCTGCCTTGCTTTTGGTTGCTGTCTTGGGGTTTTTGTTGGTTTGTGTCCTTTTGGGCTTGTATTGTTCTATAAGCAGGCCTGCATCCCGGGGCTCGGGGGTTTGTGGGATTTGGAGCTCATTACGGAGATGCGCTGTCGAGAGGACTTCCCTGCTTGGGTTCTGCGGCCTCACCGTGTCCGGGAGCGTCTCTGTTATCTGCAGAACGCAGTTGTGCTGGCAGGGTAATTCCTGGAGATCGTGCTCTTCGTGCCACGTTGCTATGCCAAGTTAGCAGATACAAAGCTCCATTAAAAGACCCCCAAATACTTCATTATCTAGTCAGATATTTTGCTCCCTGTGAACACTGGAGTTAACCTTCATGAATGGCTTGAACTTATACCACTGTGTTCTCTGCTGGCTCTGTTTTTTGGTTTTTTTTATAAAGTACAAAATTATGCTAATAATCTGCACAAGAAATAAGTAGTAATAGTTTCACCATTACTGCTGAAGCGGTGGGAGCTAATCTGAAGAAGGCTTTTTGCTAGCTGTAGAAGGCTAGTACTCCTTTCTCATCATGCTTTTCTTCTTTTCTTTTTCAGCTTAAAAACAAACAAAAAAAGCATGTAGTGATTAGTCTTGCAGGTGCATAGCATTAACAGTTCTGTCCAGAATACACTCAACGTGCTTCAAATGCACATGCTGCCACGGATGAGGTGACTTCCTTCTCCTGTGTTTTTGGTGTCATGTGACCCAAGTCCGTTTTTCTTTAGCTTTTAGCTGTTTAACTGGTTTTCCCAATCTTTGCTTGCTTTTCAGCTCACAGGTGTAATAGTTGGTATGCTATAAAAAGCTTAAATACTGGAATCTCTGTGTCGTAGGTTTCTAAACTTTTTTTACATCTCTAAATTTATAAAACTTATAGTTTACTGGAACAAACTCGTAAGCTGAAAAGGAGGAAACAAAACCTTGAAATTAAACCATCAGCATTTCTCTTCTGGTTGAGAGGGTTTTTGTGAGCTCTTGAGCAGGCAATGCGTTTGTTATTTACTGTGAGGTGGGTGCCGGTGCCAGCACCAGGGATGGAGCCTTGGAGTGAAGAGCTAGGGAATGACACCAGTGCTTCCAAGGCCAGCACATTGTCATATTGCTTCAACTGTGTTGCCTACTGCATTGGCTAAAAAGCCAGTATCTGCCTGTTCCTGTGGATAGCAGTCTGACAGAGGAGAGAGCAGGGCAGCTGGAAGCTGTAGCTCTGTAAGTTGCCAAGTATGATTAAGCAGTGGTTGCCTGAAGGCCCTCTTAGTCTCTCCTCTTGGAGCTGGCCTCAGGTGCTGAAAGTTGGATGTGCAGCATATGATAGTTTCCTAAACCCTTTCTGTGAACATAATTTTCACTGTATGCATGTGAGGTTAGTGAGGGAATGCTGAACCTTTAGCTGTGAAAATATCAAATACATCTGTTCAACTAAAGATTTATCTGCAGGGAGATTACTGTATGTGAGCTGGTCTTGTATTCAGCTGAAGACAATGTAAATGTTTGCTGATAGGTACTACCATTTGTAGTAAGAACTGGCTCTTTGCAGAGGTAGTTGTTCAGGCATGTTTGAAGTGCTGCTTGGTTTCTATCCTGTATCAGTTGAAACATCTTATTTTCAGATTATTATTGTTCGATTGCTGAAACTTGCCCTGCAAGTTGGCAACTGCCCTTGCAATGCAGCAAGTTACAAAACCAAAACAACTCCCCTGCTTTCCTCTTCAAGCAAAAGCACTCAGATCTGTGGAACTAGATAGTTATTGATACTTTATTTTTTTTTATGAACTTGAGCTGAGGATATGCTTCTGTGACACAAATCCTTCCTTGTTAAAACTGGTCTAAGAGATCTTGACACTCTCTTCGATTCTGGTTCCATGGGAATTCAGGTCTCTTTCAGTTGACTCTGCTAGAAGTGATCCTGCTCTCATCTGTTCAACAACATTAGGCTGGTTCACATGAGTAATTGGTATTACATACTGGACAAGAGATGGTTTAAACCAGTTTGAAATGTTGTGGTAGTTCACCCTCAGATTGTTATTGTTGTTGCTTTACATTATTACTTAATCATGGCTGCTGCCAAGAGGGTGCTCTTGATCCTTTCTCCTCCCTTTGGTCCTCAATCATGCTTGTACCAGTACTAGTGATCTCCATGAAAATGTGTTGCGTTTCTGGAAAAAGTGTAGTAGGAATGAGAGTGGTTGTTCAAGTTAGTTCTTTGTTGTGGTCCATCATTGTCAGTGGTACTGCTGGGTACTAGGTAACTGGAGTCAGGGAAATGGGGTGGGAATGCTTTAGATACTCCTTTCAGTAGGAGCTTGCACCAACTCTGGTTTCACAGTCAACTTACAGTGTGGTAGCTCAGCTGTCAGACTTTAAATGTGATCTGAGGAGTAAACACAAAGCAAACAGTGTTTCAAAGCAGAAGCTGTGGCTTTTGAAGCGTAGTGGGAAGTGCTAACCTTCAGGGAGTGGGAGACACCTTGGGGTGTCTGTACTGCCCAAGGATTCATCACAGAAGTGCACCCTGCAGCAGTCATAGACCAGGCTAACTCGCTTTTAACACTACTGAGTAGTATCAGTAAACTGCTTTACTAAGCCAAGAGTTGGTTAGCCAGTTCAGGAGTTGGGCACTGACACAAAGGCATTTAAAGCAGCTTGTCCAATATGTGAAATGCAGCATACAGAGCAGCTAAGCTTGATTTATGTGAAGTTGGATAGATCCTTGAAAGTACTATCAGTGCTTATATCCTGGAATGCTTATTAGCAGTAAGTTTATTATGCAGAGCGCTTGGTTCTCAATTTGTGTCAGCATTTAAATATCTTTTAAAAAAAACTATCCCTATTTTGTATCTGCAGTGGCTTCTTTCAGTAGAGTTATCCTTTGCATGCCTTAATATTGGGACTCAGTTTTTCAATGCAGCTGTTATGGCTTAGAAGATTTTTAGGACAGTTTGAGCACTTTTGAGGGCTCGAAGGCCAAGGACTGTTTAAGAAAAGTACTGCTAAACACAAGTTGATATCAAAGCTTGTAATATCTGCAAAGAGTATCTAAACAACAGATGTTTTAAGGAAACTATAGGGAAGAAGTTACAGGTGGTGATGCTGGGGGTGATGTTAGATGGTTATGGGTTCCTTTTGCCTGAATTTATTATTTTGTACTTTTGAAGCATTGGTTGTCCATGCCTAAAATCTTAAGTCAAAATAAAATCTCCTAGCTATGAACACTTTGTCATGTTTTTGTTTTCTAGATTACTGATATTTTAAAACAGACTGATATTTGACCAAGGAGGAACTATTAGCTCTGTTTCATCTTTTAAGCATTAAAATTACAATTCCATTGCATATTTATAAAAAAAAAAAAGTGTGTTAAGCTCCAGTGAAGTAAGCATAATTTGCTAATATGGTTATTTTTTTCTCTCAAATATTTTGGGTTTTACCTCTACAGTCTTTAGAGGTTAAAAGGAAATTCTCCTGTTTTATGCTATACAGGCCTAATATTTGCTGTTAGTATCATGACAGCCTGTGTGAAGCTGGTGCCTGCTTGTTCAGAGGGTTGACTTCCAAGGTGAATGAGCTCTGATGAGCTGAAAAAGGAATTTGATATATAGGCTTTTGTGGTTTTGGTAGAAAAATGAGGCATTCATTCCATATTTTAAAAATTTGAATTAAAAACTTGGTATCTAAGCAAGTGCTGGTAGTCTTGGTATAAGAGCATGCAGATGTAGAATTTAACTGTTTCCTCTGCTAAAGAAATAATGACTTTGCTTGAAACATTGTTTAAAAAGTGGCAATGTAGTAATAAGGTCTCTTTTCTATAATTTTTTCATTAACTTTTTTTAATGCAAGTTAGAGTGTAATTTGTACCAGCTAATCGGTGAATATTTTTAGATGGTCCTACATTTGTTATCTCTGAAATATAGTTTTAAACTTTAATTCTGCACTTCAAAATTGTGACTTGAGCTCTGTTGTGTTTAGTGAGTACTTTTAAGAGACCTAGGCCTTTGTGCCCCTCCCATGGGCTGTGTGGTCTGGTAATGAAAGATAAAGCAATTTGAAATTCATAAGGCTTCTAGAGAAGTGAGTGTATCTTGAAATTGAAATTGCAGTAGTAAGTATCACTATTAACTTAGTAAGAACATAAAATATTTTCAAATCCATGGGGGAAATATAAAGGATAACAATGTAAACAGTTCTCAACATTTTCCAAGAATTCTAATTTCTTTAATTGATGAAAAGCTTATTTTCTTGTTTTCTGGGAGGGAAAAGGGGTGTTATTTTTTTCCAGCTCCTGTTTGAAGTCAGTATAGGAGCTCACTCTATATCTTTCAGCCCACATATTTGACTTGGAATGACAGCTGCACCTAACTTTAATGTAGTTTTTCTAAAAGTGCTCCTGCTACATGGATACATTTTTGTCTTGATGGGAAAGAAATTAGAATATCAGTAGTTCTGACAGGCTGAACCAATGTATTCTGTTTAAAAACCCATTCCATTTAGATAGGGGGGAAAACATTTAATACTTTTTTTTTTTTTTCCTATGCAGGAATAAAAAACTACTCTAACTGGCCTACCATCCCACAAGTATACCTCAATGGTGAATTCGTTGGTGGCTGTGATATCCTCCTCCAGATGCATCAGAATGGAGATCTTGTGGAAGAGCTGAAGAAGTTAGGAATCCGTTCAGCACTTCTGGATGCAGAAAAAGACCAAGATAAAAAGTAAAAGGAGAAAAAAATATGCTGTGACAGGAAGAAACCCAGTCTTTGAGAGGAACTTGTTACCAGTAAAGCCTTATGTTCTTTAGCTCAAAGAAGGCATCTTTTTGAACTGACACTAAAGTTTATCTGTGAATGTCTAATGCTCATGGTAAATGTATGATCTTGGCATTTTGATTTCTGGATATTGTGAAAATTTGAGTATAACCACTGTACTGTAAAGCATACATTTGTTGAAAGTGTGTTTTTTTTAAAAAAAGTTCACTTCTAAAATCATTCACTTCTTGATTGGGGCAGGAATACGCCAACCAAACAGGTAATACTTCAATGCTTTTTGAATGCGTGTTTCTCTGTTCTTTGATACACAAACCTATGCAAACAGTGTTTGCATTCCCTTGCTCCTCTTGAAAAAGTGTTAAGTAATAGTGCAACAGTTTTGCTGCGTAAGTCCTGGTGATAAGACCTCCTGAGAGCCTTTTAAACGTCTGTAACCACATATGATGTAGGAGAAAATAGTATTCAACAATATATAAGAGAAAATATTATTATATGGGAGTGCATTAAATATACTTTTATTCTAAAGGGTAAAATAAACAGATTTGTACAAATACATGTATAATGGTCATTATTACTTTATAACATTCTGATTGCTTTTAAAAAAAAGGTATGAATTGTGCCTAAAGACTTTATAAAATGTTTTCTACCTCTTGCAAAACAGCTTTCCCCCCTGCTTATATACTTTGTGTATTGCAGCTCTGTGTCAGTGCTAAAAGGTGGGAATTATTTAAGGCTTCAGTATTCTAGCTCGGAGTAGTACAGGAGAATACTTCAGTTACTACTGTAATCTTGTATTATTTGCTAGTTACTATGTTATCTTTATATTTGTTGTACTTCCAAGTATTTTCTCTAGACTTGTGTGCTTTGACGAATATGGTCTTCAAACATGGGGTTAACAGAGGAAATGTTTCTTGTAGATAAGATAGTAAGTGCAGCAGACAGTCGACTGAATAGATAAATGTTTCTTTGTGGAAAGTCTCTGAAGTTTTCAATACCTATCTAACCACATTTCCCAAAGTTAAAACCAATCTTGTTAACTGGTATAGCTTCAGCTGTACTAAGCCAAAGGTTAAAAACTAACCACCATACTGCTAAGGTTAAAAACTACTTTTAAATGCAGTTTTATTAAGATAAACTATTTTGCATGTGGATTAGACAAGTGATTGGAAATAAACTATTTTATGTTGATTGTCATGAATAGTTCCTCTTTATTTTAAATTACTACTTAACCTAAAATGGTTTCCACTGCATGGGATAGAAAATGTGCTTTACATAAAGGAAAAATTATGTATTCTCAGCGGAAGAGGAAGTCAGCAGGAGCTTGTAGACTTAAGAGATTTGATGCAAATTACAGTGGAGAAGCTATACTGGTACATTCTTCATGGAATTTGCCAAACTGGTTACAGTAAACTTACTGTATAATTTTAATGCAATCAGTACCACCAGGATTAAATGCAGTGTATACATGCTCTGTATATTCATGGGCTCAAGACAGCTGCCGAGTACCAGTAGAAGTGACTCTAATGGCCAGAGAGTATGAATAAGTTACACTCAGAGGCAGTCACTTGGGGCTGTTGGTTGTGGAGATATGAGTGCAAGATTTTTTTGTTCATACACAACATCACTTTTATGAAATGCAAAGCTTTAGGTATATGTGAAGGCTCATTCTGACCATTTCAGCATCACCTGTCTTTGAATTCAAATTAAATAAGCTTTCTTATGGATAGTTTTTCAAGAGTAGCTGTTGTCATTCTGAATGAAAAATCATGTTTATAGAAACAAGTGAATATTAAGTTTGTTTTTTTCTGTCAAAAGGCCCATTGAAATGGATGTATACAGTACCCAAAAAACACGGTAACTTGAAGCAAATTAAACTGTTTTCTATTTCAATGGTTAAGTCTATATTTGCTTACTAAATAAATCGATTAAAAAACCCAAGCAAAACAAAACCAAAACAAAGCAACAGCTCTCAACCAAATCTGCTGTTTGAGTCTTTCTTCTTCATTCTGCTGAAACTGAGTAATTTTCAGTACTATCTGCTAGTAACTTTAGCATTTCCAGGTTTTCTTTTTTCTCTAAGCAGTAAAAGGTTTTTTCCCCAGCACGAGTTCCTGCTTTTACCAAAACTATGAATAGTTTTTCACTTTCTTTACTTCCCCTTAGACATTTTAGTTATTAATAATTTCATTGAAATTTTGTGTAATGTATAGTAGTCTTTATATCAGTCCTTTGCCTGATGGAAGTGTCTTGTGCCTGAGCAAGCAAGAGCAACATCAATGCCATAAAGCATGTGAAACAAAGCCACACGAGTGAGAATGTAAAATGTAACTTCTTATTGAGCTCCTGTGCAAACCTTATCTTTCCAGGCTCTGTGTGCATGAGAAGTTGTTTTATACTGCATCTATCTAAATGCTCATGTTATTCCAATTGCAATAAGAAGGTCTGCATCTGCTTAAGCTGTGAAACTTTAGGTGCTCAAAAAAAGGCTTATTTTGGGACTTGAAAGTATTTCCCCAATAAACTATTTCCTCATTGATTCTTTTAGGAAATGGACCATATTCTGCATGCTGCTCAGCAGCTTTTGCTGCGCCTGGTACTAGAGACAAAATAGAACATATAACTCCAAAAGGGGTGTTGCTGCAAATTCATTGGTTCTTTTGAGATATAATTTCTAAATAGTTTTGCCTCTTATTGATGAGAAACCTGCATCTGGTTTCATTGTGCTGTTTGGCAATGAGATAGCAGCATTGGAGTCTGGGGTGACAATCAGTGGATGTGTTGAGCTAATACTGAGGGGGTTGGTGCTACTGGGAAAGATCCATGTAGAGTTCATGGTCAGGTGGATGCTATGGGTTCTGAGGGGAAGGGTGATTTTTCCCCACATGGGAGGAGTACCTTGTCACAGGAAGTAAGGGGAGTGTCAGAAAAAAACACTGAATACTGCTGCTTGTACTTGCCTGATTACTCTGTAATAAAAGAGAGACTGAAGAGGTAATTGTGCTCAGGAACATGACTTGGGAAGACCGGCTGAAATTGCCGAGAACAGCCAAGAGCTGCGCTTGCCATCTTTGGTGAAGAAGGAAGCAAAGCTGCCTGGTCCAGAGTTGGGTCTGCTGAGGTAAGAAGAATGTGGGCCTCAGGGCTTGAACATTGCTGCCTGCAGGGCTCCTGCAGATCAAGGGTGGTTGTATAGAGCTGCCAGTTCCAAAATACCATGTAGTCCTTTTCCCACTATGAATGTTTTAGTCTGTTGATATGGGGCAGGTGTTCCGGCTGGCTGCTCCTCTGCTGAGATGTTTCTGGACTCATTTTGGCTGTATTGCACTACTGAAGGTTTACAACAAGGTAAATGGACGTAAACTGTCATCTCTGATTGTTACTCTATTATTGTAGTATGAATGTTTGCCAAACTGGAAACCATTATCATCATTACATTGTGTTCTGAGGTTGCACTTGGTGCCACTGAGGTGGTAAAAAGTTGAGCTGAGTGGACCAACCTATTCAGCAGACCATAAATTAAGCTAATCCTTCTAACATTCCTTGCCTCCTACATATAAAGCAAGGTTATTTGGTTTAAGCAAGTATGATTGTTCATGTTCCAAAACCAATCTGGTGTCCTAAGCCTTCGTGAAAGAGGAAGTGGGGCTTCTTTGGTCTTCTTGAACTGATCCTGGCAGGGAGCAGAAGGAAGCAGGCTACACATGTGCTGCTAGTCTTGATTTGGAAAAATTCGAATGAGTGAAATGAAAAGTTGTTTCACCGAGAAAATGAACTGTTAACAGCTCAGGACATCTTAATGGGTTACATGGTAAGCGTGTTTCTCAGCCCCAATTACCTTTTCCTTGCCTTAGTTTTGCTAGGAAATGTTTGGATGTGGTCAATATGCTCCACTGCTTGTCTAGAAATCCCTGACAGGATTTTTCCAGGAGTCTGTCAGTGCTAACAAAGTGCATAGAGAACAATCAAGTTTGGGAATGTGAAATTGAAGTGTTGTACCAAGGAAAATCTCTCTTGAGCTGGCACCAAGAATCCCATCCAGGCCCTGACAGTGCCTGCACCTAAGAAGGGCAATATTAAAAAGCAGAGCAATAAATCCCTGTCTAATCTGGTTTGCATGTCCCTTCTGCAGAAACCAGATCTTACACAAGGTTTTTCAACATCCATATTACAGGATTGTATTAGGATAAAACATGCTCACTAGTTCCAAGATAACATCTTAGCTTTTAAAGAGTCTCAGTGAGCAAAGGTGGAAAGAAAATAAGGTTAAAGAAAATTTGAAGGTTTTGGATTATTTATTATGCTGGATGTTGGTTGATCTTGCTTTTGATCTGAAAGAGTTGAGGTGAAAACACTGCTCTGGAAGAGACTGTTGTTCACTATTTAGTTTTCAATATCTTGTTGGGATGCTGCTTGTTCCATTAAAAAGTACTGCCTTACAGCACTGCTGCCTCTTACATGGCCTGACTGCAGCTACAGAACACTCATTTAACTACTTGAGGCCTACCCTGACATATCTTTTAGGAAAAGCATGGCATAGCTACACAGAAAATAGGACTGAAGTATCTAAGATTTTGACTTATGAACTTGCCCTTATCATCCAGCTTCTCACACGTGCTTTTTTTCCCTGGAAGTAAGAGAGTAAGGCCAGGAACAAAGATGGTTTGAGTTGGACAGGCCATCACACTGTACAAAACTTGTGGTACTCGTAGGATGTGACTGGTAGGAACATGCAGTGCTGCATGTAGTGAACAAGCATTTGTATCTTCACAGTTTTAAGGTTGCTATGTGTTGATCAGACACCAGAAATGCTTGCAGGACAGCAGAGATGTTTGTTTTTTTCAAATTCAAGACACTAAGTCTGACAACAGCATCTCAATATTTTTTAAATTTTCTTTTTAATCACTGCAGCTGTTCTACATAAAAAGCCATGAGACTGCTCTTACACATACA